GTTCCTCATAATCCTGTTGGTCTGGGTAAAGATGACTGTACATGAACTGATTCATGTACCGCATCGTCGCGAGATCGCGGGTTTCAACCTCATTCACAAGCATCTGAAAAACTCCGCATCTGACCATGCACCCTGGCTCGCCTGGCTCTGATGACCCGTCCCTACAAGTATACGATAAAAAATTCAATGAATTAAACCAAATAATGTACTTTAATTACATAAATTATAATTGAAAATGAAATATGAAGTAGAAAATTATAAATAAAACATTAACCTTAAATTACCTGGCACTAACATCTGTAGCGTTCTCCAGAACTGGTGAATTATTCCGAGATCAATCGAAATTTTAAAATCAATTGTGGTACGGAGCAGACAGGCACAAGTGAGTGATCTGCAATACATAGCTGCAGTTATCATAAACATCGATGTCCAAGCCATGCATCCTCGTAAGCTCATCGTCCAATAAACTCAGGCAGTAATGCGAGACCCTCAGTATCACGCTCACGAAAAGGATTCCCTTATACAGTGTACTCTTCTTAGATCTCGAAGTCTCAAGCGTCGTCCTGATAATACATTACATAACATTAGATTATAATTAATGCAGTAATATAATAACGCATTTAAAAATTGCAGTATGTACATGATTTCAGTCACTTGATGATCGATCTGCTGATTAATCTTCTGCCAAATTGTATCGAGCGCGCCGGTGGACGTGTGAAGCCACTGCTTCAACACAGAGTGGGCACTCTCCACCCTACAGGAAGTTGTGTTTCCAAAATGTGTCACCTGGTTGGTCCAAGCCTTCACAAACTTCTCCTTGTGCCCTAACCATGTGTTCTCCACATACTGTACCACTTGTGGATACTTCGAGTATTTTGCGCGAAGCTCGGCAACAACATCGGTGTACTCATCGAACGTACTGGCCTCCGCAATCGCCTTCCACGTACTGTGCATGAAAATTTGCGAGAATGATTTACTCTTCCCAAAGAGTTTGTAGGCTCTGTCTTCCACATCCTTGTTGATGTGCCACGTGCAGAGTAAGTGGGCTGATTCGGGAAAATGCCTCTCAATAGGACTGATTAAACCCAACTCTCTGTCACTGACAACCATATTAGGATATACGCCTTGGCCTATCAGTAGTCTCAACTTTTGTAGAACCCAGTCGTAACTGGCCTCTTTCTCGTCCCTGATGAGCGCATACGCAATTAGGAAGTTCTGGTTACACGGCGTCATCCCAATCATCTCGACCAACGGCATCTTGTACCTGTGCAAATGAGACCAAGAAGACAAAAAATATAATCACATAAAACTTAACTTAATCAAACACCCTATTTAAGATTCATACTAATAAAGTATTTATAAAGTAACATACCTGTTAGTTTTGTACGTGGAATCTATGCAAACATACCAGTGATATGTCCAGAATAGATTGACCGATGCATGATGGGCCATGAATATATGTGTCAACGCTTTCGTGTTCGGATCGGATTCTGCATAAACTGTTTACTCGCTGCTCATGGCCTAATGCATAAGCTGGGAAGGAACGTCTCTACCCTCGTAACTCTCTTTCCGCAGCTTATCTCTAAAGTTATATACCTGTCACCGATTAGCGTTATTTATAATGATTATTATAATTTAAAACAAAAAAATTATTATATTAATAAATAAAAAAGGTATATTAATTAATTATTTGATAAAAAAATTATTAACTATCATAATAGTAATACATTATTAAATATAATAAAATTTATTAATTATTACAATAACTTTTAGATATAAAAAAATTACTAATTATCATAATTAACTTCAAAAAGTTAATTAAAACATATATTACAAGATATAAATATATATACCTGTCGCACATGAACGTTGTCTCCCAGATTCTTTTCCTTCAGCGCGGCCATAATTTTTGCCGGGGCCACCTGAGCGTCCGTCATATCACGAACAATATTCTTAGATGAAAAGCTGAGGCCGCTCAACTGGAGATGACTCTCAAGATACACAACAAAGTTATGGTTATGGTAGCTCTTCTCTTCCTTGCTACATCTACAGATCCTCCAGTATGGCTCGCCAGGCACCTTTTTTACTTTGATCTCAAAATCGCAATTGCACTTATTTGTTTTTGTCTTTCTAGAATTTATGCCTGTGCCTCTGTAGCGTTCGCCTCTATGGCACTTCAAAAGCTTGACCGTTTTCTTTTTGTGTTTCGAAATTACTAATAGGAAACCATTCAGTATTGTCTGGTGTTTTGCAGCTTCAGTAGCCTCCTTATCACTCTTAAAGAATGTATTGGTATCGAAACTGAGACTGTAATCAATACCATCTCCTCCAAAATCTTTCCATGACTCCTGCTATATAGTACAATATTTATATTTTTAAAACATGTTAAATTATAATATATTCATTCTAATGTATAAGATAATTAATTCTAACATGTAACATAATAATTTATAACCCATAACATGATATTATCTAACGTCCAAAATATAGCATAATGAAGTCTAACATGTAACACAATAATTTGTAACTCATAACACGATAATATCTAACGTCTAATGTATGACATAATCAACTATAACATGTAATATAATAATTTGTAACTCCTAACACGATACTATCTAACGTCTAATTTATAACATAACCAAGACTAACATGTAACATAATAATTTGTAACTCGTAACACGATAATATCTAACGTCCAATTTATAGCATAATCAAGTCTAACATGTAACATAATAATTTCTAACTCCTAACACGATAATATCTAACGTCCAAATTATAGTATAATCAAGTCTAAAATGTAACATAATAATTTCTAACTCATAACACGATAATATCTAACGTCCAATTAATAGCATAATCAAGTCTAACATGTAACATAATCATTTCTAACTCCTAACACGATAATATCTAACGTCCAATTTATAACATAATTATTTTGAATAAATAACATAGTAATTTTAGAAAAAAATCGTCGGCCGGTCGAACAGGACGGACCGGTCTTGACCGGCCGTCGCCGCCGGACGATTTTTAAGGCGTCCGGCCGGCCGGTTCGGACATAGCCCATCCGACCGGACGAACTTTTCGGACGGCTTTTATGCCGTCCGATCCGGTCGGCCGAACGCCTTTTAAACCGTCAGGTTCCGGCGGTCGGACGGGCTAAAAGCCGTCCAGACCTTGGAATTTGACGATATTTCACCGTACACTTTTCTCTGAGATGTTTGAAAAAAATAATAAAGGCAAAATTGTTCAAAGGGGGCGGTGACGGGCGGTAAATAGTACTACCCTGACTGAAAATAGACACTCTCCATTTATTTATAATATTTTACTAGTACAACAACCGTGTATTACACGGCTCTTGTTAAAAAATTATTCTTAAATTTTAAAATTAATGATAAAAATTATTTTAAATTTTATTTACTTTTTTATAAAAAATATATTTTATTATATATTTTATAAAAAATTATCCTATATAATTTGCCACATAGGATCCCGAAACATGCGAGCCTGCCACTTAGCCTTAGCACGTTTTGAATTAATATATAGGGGGATTTTATTACTAAAATGACACAGTGGTTTCTGCATTCTATTGTTATGTTTGGTAATCAAATAAATTAACTTATAATTTATTTAGTTAATTTATAAGTTTTCTGTATTTAAATAGTTTTTGTTTGGTAGGACGAGTTTTTTTAAAATTCGAGGTTATCTCATAATCTTTCTGAGTAACTTTTCAAATAAACTCGTTAATTTTTTTTTTTTCAGCTAGCTTATCAGCAAATTTTATTACGCACTCGTATCATATAAGCTACTTGTTCACCTATAATTCATAAGTTATCAGCTATAAGCCAAAATTTATTGAGAAGCTATAAACTAGCTTATCAACTAAGTTTACCAAACATAACCTTTATCTATCCATCTAGCTGACTATTTTGTATTTTTTTTTTTTATTTTATATTTTATTTATTATTTAATTTGTGCGACCAGTTCATTATTTCACTGTTCAGTTTTTTATATAAAAGGGACGTGAAATGATTTATTAATAGTTATATTGAGGTTGCATCTTCTCTACATTGTCTCCTTCAATTTCGTATTTTTTTTCCTTTTTCTCTCTTCTCCATCTTTCAGCCCCTTTAAGGCTATGTTTGGCAAGTCAATAAGCTAGCTTCTAGCTTATTTGATTGGCTTATAAGCTCCCTTTATTTAAATAAGTCTCGTTTGGTAGGACGAGCTTTTTTAAAAAGCTCGAGCTTATCTCATAAGCTACTTTAGGTAGCTTTTCAAATAAGCTAGTTGAATTTTTATCTCAGCTAGCTTATCAGCTAATTTTACCAAACACTTTTATCAAATAAGTTAGCTATTCAACTATAAGCTATAAGCTCGAAAATTACGTACAAGTTATAAGCTAGCTTATCAGCTATCAGCTAGTTTTACCAAACATAGCCTAAGTGTTACTCTTCTTATTATTTTTTCTTCCTCCTTATCTAAGTCTCTATAATATTATATATGGACAATGCTACATGTACAATTGTGATTTACAACATTGGTTGACAACTTAGTTAAAAGTATCATTAACTCAAATCTCAAACATACATTATTTGCATCTCAACCACCCACATCATGCCACATCATGTTGTCATTGAATGTTGTACCAAAAAGTTGTACAAATAGCTTTTTTCATTATTATAAATAGATTCTATAATCATAGGATTAATTGCATTAAAAACCTCAACCATTTGTCAAATTGCAAATAAAACTCAGCCTTTTCAATTTGGCATAAAAATACCAAACATTTATTAAGTGTTGGAATTTTGTCTCGAAAGCAAATTCCGGCCAAGCGACGCTGACATGACAGTATGAAAAATGACATGGAACCCAAAATCCCTTTTTCTTTTCGTTTTCCTTTTTCTTTTCCCTTCTTTTCTTTCCTTCTCCTGTCACTTTCTCTCTTCTTCTCCACATATCCCCAATTCTCCTCTTCCCAAATTCTTTTTTTTCCTTCCTCAAATTCTCGAATTCCCTTCCTCTTCTCCACGCCCTCGCTCAGAGCTCCCGACAACCGTCGTTGGCGGCCTGAACTGGAAAACCTTGGAGGGGAGCAGAACCCGGCGGCGGTTCGGCGACGTGCGACAGCTGCTAGGCTCGGCTTGCGCGTGGTGCTGTGACGGATTGACTTGACGAGGACCGCCGGGCTTTGGCGGCGATTCAAAGGTTTGACTCAGCGGGTGATCGAACGTTGTCGTGGCTGGCCGTCGGGAAAATCAAACAGATCCGGGTCGCCGGTGGCCGCACGCGGCGACACGTGAGGCGGATGACGCTGGCGATAGGCTGCTCGATCGTGAAGGTGATGCACGGATAGAACCTGGCCGAAAATTCGAATCCTCCCGGTGGCACAGGCGTAAATCTCGGAGGCTCTCGCTTATGGTGGTCGTCGGAAAGGAGGGCTGTTGTTCGTGAAGCCTTTGCACAGAGGCTGGTCACTCCCGGCGGACTACTGCGGGTCACCTGTTAAGGTTCTGGGATTCGTGGTTGATCTGAAGCACCTCTTCTTGATTCGCCAAGCATATGGTGAAATCATTTTTTTGTGGTTAATCAAGCCATGAATTCGCAGCAAAATTTGGAGGCGAATCGCTGAAGAAGAAATATCTAATGAAAGCGCTTTCTTTATTTTTTTTTATCTGAGAAAATGGGGAAGAAAACGGGCCTTAAACCTGATGTGTGACATGGTTGGGGTGTGACTTGGAGGTTGACGTGTCTGATGACGTGGCACTGACTATTACATTTTAGGTGCCACGTTTCCGATCAGACATGTCAGCGCCCCTTCGCCGGGATTCAATTTTGAGACAATTATGCAATACTTAATAAAGGTTTGTATTTTGTTGCAAAATTTAACAGGTTGAGTTTTATTTGCAATTAAGCAAAAGGTTGGGTTTTTTTTTTTTTTACAATTAACCCATAATCATAATAAAAAAATTTGTGTAAACATTAGATTTTTCAAAGATAAAAGATTTTTAGACTTCTTTATAAATATCCCCTCTAAAATAATAGGGTAAATAATTTTTTGCATCATGTACTATACGCGTTTCTGGCGATTGCAACCTAAAGTATTTTTTTTTTATTTTGCAACCTGTAATACACGTTTTGTCTGTATCGCAACCTAACGGTCATCGGAGTCCATATTCCACCAGAAAAGCGAGCGTGTGACTCGCACGCTCGAAACTTGAGGGTAAAATCGCCAATTGAAGTATGTGACTCTTCGGTATCCCACAGAGTAAATATATTCAAATTAATTTTCAAAGTTAACACAAAATCCCCAATTCAAAACTAAGAAAACTAGGGTTCTTGCCTTGCTATTTTCAATCTCGACATCCAATCTCAAACTTTCCTTCGATGTAAACATAAAAATTGTGAATCAAACTTGATCGCGATCTTGATGGGCTGGAAAGTACGCGACACAATGAGAATCTTCCACCTGGAAGACTGTGCCCTGATTACGGTTTGTTTTTCGAACCCTAACTTTTTTTTTTGTTTTTTTCTTGTAGAATTTGACGCAATCTTTTTATATTGGTAGTATGTTTGTGATTATCTTGAGTTTCTCATTTCTCATGTGGAGACAAACTTTTTGAACTTGCCGACAGTCCATGGATTAAAATATGGAAATGTGAATTTTGTCGGAAATGTGATCCAGGATATATTAGTTTAGTATTTTATTCATTTTTTTTAATTTGATATTGATTTGTGTAATATTCTTGTCCCTTCAAGTCCCAGTTCACAATTGTTTACCATTTCATTTCATTATGGTGGGCAATTTCTGGAACTTGGTGACACTTGTTACACTGGTGAGCACATGAGGGTAAGGCACATTGACTATTGTGACCCTAATGAACTCTCATTGATTGAAATATTCTGTATGGCTTCTGAAATTGGGATAAAAGATGTTAAGTGTGTGCATTGTAGTAGAAATGGTGTAAATGATTGTCGGTCTGTGTTTGTCTTGCAAAATGACATGGATGCTATAAATGTTGTTAATTGGGTTGATAGTAATAGAATGGTCGGTTTATATGTTGAACATATGGAGGGCACAGGGATATCTACTCAACCTTCTGATGATTTGCCTTTTGTTGATTTGTCTTCTGTTGATGAACCCTTGCCTTTTGTGGGGGATGATGGGGATGATCTAGATTATATGATTGACAATTGGGGGGAAAAGAATGTTGATGATATGGGTGATGATTTGGAAGTCCAATCTGATAGTGACTCTGATAGTGATTTTGAACTCCAATCTTTTGGTTCAGACTCTGAGTTTTCTGATGAACTTGTTGAGAGTGATTGTGATCTATATGATGAAGATGATAGGTTGTTTGAGTGTCATGTAGTTGGTGATATTGAATGGGGAGGAGTAAATAGAGATGAAACTCATGGCCCTGAATATGTAGGTAGCCAGAGTAAGCAGATAAAAAAAAATGGGTCATCCAACTTTTGATCATCAAAAAGACATGAAAAATCCTCAATTTAAATTGGGCATGACATTTCCTGACTTGTCCATGTTTAGAAAGGCAGTTAGGAACTTTGCAATTGCACAGGGTAGGGATGTGTGTTTTACCATTAATATGAGCTATAAGGTGCAAGCAAGATGCAAATATAAGTCATGCCCTTGGGTCATTTATGCATCCAAAATTCAAAATGGAGACACTGTGTAGGTTAAGACTTACAATGGTAGGCATAAGTGTCCTAGAAACCAAAAGGTAAGTCATGCTAACCCAAAATGGATAGCTGAAAATTACAAGCACAAGATATTAGATAATCCTAAGTGACCTGTAGAGGCGATGATGGCAGAAATGCAGAGGGAAGTAGGGCTAGTTTTCAAAAGATGGCACATGTACCAAGCTAAAAAATATGTGTCTAAGATTGGTGTGGGGTCTGACAGTGAGCAATATGTCATGCTTTGGTCTTATGCTGAAGAGATAAAAAAAATAACCCTGGGACCACTGTGGTAATTAAAAGTAAACTTGTTGATGGAGATCCATTGTTTAAAATAATCTATATTTGTTGGGGTTCATTGAAAAGAGGGTTGCTGAATGGTTGTAGGAAGGTGATTTGCTTAGATGGTTGTCATCTTAAATCATCTTGTGGTGGTGTTCTACTCACTGTAGTTGGTGTTGATGCAAACAATTGTATGTATCCTTTTGCCTATGCTGTTGTTGAAAAAGAAACTAAAAAAACTTGGCATTGGTTTGTTGACCTGTTGAAAGGGGATTTGGGAATTGAGAATTCTTTTCTGTGGACAATAATGTCAGACAAGCAAAAAGGGCTGGTAGATGCCATTGAAAATCTATTTCCAGATTCTGAGCATAGGTTCTGTGTCCAACACTTGTATGGAAATTTTAGGAATTCATTTAGGGGATTAGCCTGAAACTTGTTGTGGAGAGCAGCCCGGTCCACAAGGGTTGTTGACTTTCATGCTGCAATGAAAGAACTGCAAGGAAGGGACAAAGAAGCTTTTGAATGGTTGGCTAAGAAACCAGCAAATCAGTGGTCAAGGTCACACTATAGTTGCAACTCCAAGTGTGATATGCAGTTGAATAACATGAGTGAGTCTTTCAACTCACTAATTCTGAGAGCAAGGAGTAAACCTATTGTTTTTATGTTGGAAACAATAAGACTTATCCTGATGAAGAGGACCTACATGAGAAGGGATCAAATGAGAAAACATTTGTATGGGAACTTGTGCCCAAAAATCATGAAGCTGTTGGAGGAATTGAAGAAAAAGTCAGTGGGTTATATTTGCCACTGGAATGGGGAAGACCAATTTGAAGTAGGGGGGAGCTCAAGTAGATTTAGAGTTCATATGGGGGAACATACCTGCACTTGTAGGAAGTGGGACCTCACAGGTATCCCATGTGAGCATGCAATAAGTGGCATGTTCTTGTTGGGCACTCAACCAGAGGATTATGTTGCTGACTGGTATCACAAAGAAAAGTATTTGAAGGCTTATTCTGAGATGATGGGCACTCTTCAACCTCCTGAGTGCTGGCCAAGTGTAGAAGCAATGCCCTTGAAACCACCATTTGTTGGGAGACTGCCTGGAAGGCCAAAAGGCAATGCCAGAAAAAAGCAGCCTCATGAAGTGGTTCAGACACGAAAATCCAAAAAACAAGTGAAGCTGAGTAGAACATGGAGACTTATGAAGTGTTCTCTTTGCAACAAAGACAGCCACAACATTAGATGTTGTCCTTTAAGAACTGGTAAAAGTGCAACAACTGAGGTAGGTAGTTGTTAAATAATTGCAAATTTTTTCACATGTACATTGTTGTTTCCTGTGAATTGCATAGTCACATGTACATTGTTGTTTTCTGTGAAGGGGAAGAAGAGGAAAACACCTGGGAGAGAAACTGACGTAAATGCCCCTGCTGAAGATTTTGCAGAGACCTGTCCCTAATGAAGAGAATGTTGTGGCCAAGGTAATGTTTTTTAGTTTATATGAGAAGGCATGTTGGTGTGATTTTCGTATACTGTTTTTCCCTGTTTGTAGAACTTGTTGAGAATTGGTGTGCTTATCTTGAGTTTAAGGTTGAGTTTCAGTGCATTTAGTGTCTACTATTTAATTCAAGTGTCTGTTTTTTTTCCTTATTCATTTAATGGATAGTTACATTGTACATTGTTATGAAGGGAAAGAAGATGAAAGCACATGTGAAGGAAACTGGAGTTCTTCATACACAAGAATCAGTGGCAACAATACCTTCAAGGGTCACCAGAAGTCATGGGTATTCCGATGAACTTGTTGATGAATCTGTACCTAAAAAATCCACAAAAAGTCAATCCCAGCCTGCATGTACAAGACTCACAAGAAGCCAAGCACAGCCTGCATCTTCACCAAGAAGTTAAAGGTAGCCTGCATCTTCACCAAGAATCCAAAGGCAGCCTGCATCTTCACCAAGAAGCCAAAGCCAACCTGCATATACAAGACTCACAAGAAGCCAAACACAACCTGCTTCTTCACCTACAATGAGAAAAAAGAGTGAGTCTGCAGGGCCTTCAGTTGCAACTTCACCTAAAATGAGAAAACAGAGTTAGTCTGCAGGGCGTTCAGTTGTAACTTCACCTACAAGGGTGACAAGAAGCCAAATTCAATCTGCAGCTACACCTACAAGGTCAACAAGAAGCCACTCCAAAGGTCTAACACCTACCAAGGATTTGGGGCAAAAAAGCAAGACATTGGGCATGAGGAGAAAACTTGAGGTAATCTATTCTATTTTTTTATTGTGTGTTATTTTCACTGTCTGTTTCAACATATTTTAATGATCTTACTATCCATTTAATAGGTGACCAAGAAAAAAAAATCCATTGACTCAAGGTGCTAGCTTTACAACAAGAAAGGGACCAGTGGTGAAGAAGCATGTGGTGCAATCTCAGCCTGAGCCTGAGATATTGGGATCATATTGGGTTACAACCAGTGGGGACATAGTGGATCAGTAGGGGTCAGTTCTGAGAGATATTGGAAACTAAAAACAATTTCATGGAAATGTGTACTGTTAATTGTTAGTTTTATTGGATCAGTAGGGATCATATTTTGTTAATGGATTCATGTGGATGTGGTTGATATCTATGTAGGGGTCAGTAGTGGATGTTTTGTCACAATAGATGTAGTTGATGTGTTTGTTGAACTCAGATACAATGGTTATGGCTTTTGGATATTATGGTTTGTTTTGGATATTATGGTTGGTTTTTGAATGGTTTGTTTTGTAATTGTGTTGTAATCATTCACAATCATTCATAATGTTTGGTTTTTAATTGTGTTCAATGGATACAAGTTAATTTGAATGGGTTTTTACTGCCATTTATGTGTGTATGATTGTGATTATGTGAAAGTGTCATAAATATATGGCATTGGCAGTGGGAACCTCTTTTTTTTTTTTGTGCAGCTATCCCTAACACACTACAACAAGCAACAATATAGTCATCAGTTTTAATTTCTACAAATGACCGAACCACACAATCATTAAACAACCAAAATAGTTTGATCAATCAAAAGAGGACCAGAAGAGTTTGAACAACACAAAGCTACAAACTGAAAAAATCTACAACATGCAATAAATACATAATCACCAAATGACTGAACCACATTTTGTCAACAACCAAAACCAAAATAGTTTTATCAACCAAAAGAGGACCAAAATAGTTTGAACAACACATAGCTAAAAGCTGAAAAATCTACAACATGCAATACATGATTAACCAAGAGATCATAATTACAATCCACATCCAACGCTCCCGAACACTCTTCCTCTTCAAGCACAATTCCATTTCAGCCATTTCTTCCTTAATAGCTTCAATACATGCTTCGGCCTCTTTGAAATCTGATTGAAGCATCTTCATATCATTTTCCAACCTCATCACGTCTGCTTCAAGAATTTGAGTTTCGCTTTCAAATTTTTTGGCACGTTTCAAAAGTCTTGGAATGATTTCACGAGCTCTAGGGCACAATGGTGGTTCAATCCACATCCAAAATGAACAACTACCCTCCTCCTACAAAATTCAGTGGAAAAGGGAACTCAAATTTACGAGATCAATTTCAGAAATTAGGATTCAATAATTTTGCCCAATTTCAGAAATTATGGTTCACTACCTAATTCCAGAAATTAGAGTTCACTAATTTAGCCCTAATTCAGAAATTAGGGGAATTTTAGAAAAAAAAAAGGAACAATCACCATCCTCCTACAAATATCAGTGGGAAAGAGAACTCAATTCTATGAGATCAATTTCATAAATTAGGGTTCAATAATTTTGCCCAAATTCAGAATTTAGGGTTCACTATTTTTGTCCAAATTCACAAATTAGAGTAATTTCAGATATAAAATGACCAATCACCATCCTCCTACAAGATTCATTGGAAAAGGGAACTAAGTATTACGAAATCAATTTCAGAAATTAGGGTTCACCAAATTTTCCCAAATTCATAAATTAATTAATCACTTACCCGTGACTTAGAGCAACAAGTGTATCTCCTTCCTGGATTATGAACAGCCCACGACGTTTTCGTAACAACATTGATGCCACAATTGCAATATTGAGCCATCGTCTCCAAGCTGTCTCCAAGAATTTTCGTGCGTCTGCAAGCTGTTCACTTCCCGTGGTTATAAGGGGAATTTGTTCAGTGATGGATAGACAAATATGTTCTGCAAACATCAGAGAAAAAGGCGATTTTACCCTCAAGTTTCGAGCGTGCGAGTCGCACGCTCGCTTTTCCGGTGGAATATGGACTCCGATGGCCGTTAGGCTGCAATACAGACAAAACGTGTATTACAGGTTGCAAAATAAAAAAAAAAAAAATTTACTTTAGGTTGCAATCACAAAAAACGCGTATAGTACAGGATGCAAAAAATTATGGCAAAATTGCATATTAATACACCACCTTTCATGTTTTTGCAATTTAATCACCACTTTTACAATTTTGCAAATTAATCACCACCTTTACTATTGTTTGCAAATCGATACATGAATGACGGTTCCGTTAACGAAAATCTGACGTGGCATTGAGCCACGTCAATGCCATGTCAGATTTCCGTTAGATTTCATTAACGGAACCGTCATTCATGTATCGATTTGCAAAAAATAGTAAAGGTGGTGATTAATTTGCAAAATTGTAAAAGTGGTGATTAAATTGCAAAAACATGAAAGGTGGTGTATTAATATGCAATTTATTTACCCAAAATAATATCCCCCATTTCCCATTTCCATAGTGAAGAAGTGTGGAAGTAGAAACCACCATAGAAACAAACACTAAACCCTTATCCACTAAATTCCCTCACCTCTCTCCCAACAACCATGGCCTGCTCCTCATCCATTATCGGCGTCTCCTCCATATACCAACCCAACCCCACCCTCGACCCCAAGAAACCCGCCCCGCCATCTCTGCACCTCCATTTCTCCGCCGCACGCAACAGTTTGAGAGCTTTCTCGTCGTCGCGTCACAAGTCCAGCGCGGGTCTTGCAGTATCCTTCGTGCCGTCGGCCATCGCGACCTCGAACTCGTCGGTGTTGAGCGAGGAGGCGTTCAAGGGGCTCGGAGGTTTCGGAGACGTTAGCGACGGCGAGTACGGCGAATTGGAGGAGGATGAGTCTGGGAACGAAGACAAGCTCGATATTTCTAGGATTGGTTTGCCCCAGCGGCTCGTGGACACGCTTGAGAAACGTGGTATTAAGGAGCTTTTCCCCGTTCAGGTATATGTTGCTTGGTCTTATATTTTTGCGTGTTCTTCTTGTGTTTTCACGTTTGAGGATTTTGTTTGAAGGTTTTTGTGGTTTACATTGGTTTCTAAGTGGAAACGTAGATAAGAGCATCTCCAATTCTTTAATGTTGTTGTTGGAAAAATTTTGACAAATGTCAAAATATTAAATAGATTGTGAACCATGTAGGACAAATGTTGAGTTCACAACTATTAAATTAAAAAATCATCTCCAATGTACAATGTAGTCTAATTACAATATTATCTACTTATCAAATACTAGTACAGAGCCCATGCGATGCACGGGGTGCACAATTTTAAGGCTATTTATCCAGGCTTATAATTATATACATGAATAAAGAAAAATGTACGGGATATATATAGTACCTGCAAAGCACGAGATATATTTATTTGGAGAATATTATATTATAAGATGCAATATTCAACAAAAGTTTATAATACGCAAGAAATTGTACAATGTTCAATAAAAGTTTTATAATATTCAAGTGGAGTCTTAAAGTCTCTTGTACATTAAGACTACTGACAAAATAATATTTTAATCAATGAGTTTCCTTTCCTTGTAGCCAAATTGTGAATGTGATTTGAGGAGTATAACAAATCGATATATAGTTGACTTGCTTTTTTCATTGTAGTTTTTTTTTATTTTTTTTTTATAATAAATTTAAAGATATTCTAAAATATAGCAAAAATTAATTTTTTATTACAATTAGGAATTTTACTAAATATAAACTCTCAATCTATGGTGTTAATCAACGTTTAAGTATAAAAAATTAAGAATTTTTTACCTCTTTTAATCAACGTTTAAGTCTAAAAAACAATAGAGTTATTATAAGTTTTTTTTCTACTTCTTTTAAAACATTAAATATGAGCATATTAGGGCTAGCTTGTAAAAAAATTAATATATTATCTCACTAAAACATTTATACTAATAAATATTTAATTTTAGCATATAAATTTATCCCTTGATATAAGAGAAAGTAACAGTTTTACTTATTGTTGTTCACCATATAATATTTAATTATTATTTTACTATATATTAAAAAAAGAATATTGTTAAATAGTTTAGTAGAATTGTTATAAAATTATATGATTTTTTTTTTCACAATATGGATTTAATATTTTTTTATGATTTGATAATATAAACAAATCTATACTTAACTTTGACAAATAACACAAATAAATACTTTAGTAAGTATTGAATGTATATACTAAATAGGAATATATTTGGTATAATCAAATATCAAATATAATCAAATAAGTCAAAGTGTACATTTTTATTTGGTATTTGATTTTTTTATTATTAAAATCTTTTTATTATACTTATCTTTTTAAAATAAAATAAATAAATTAATTAATTAAATAAATAAAATATTATAATACCAAAATAGTAATGACATTTAATGCAGTTGACTTTTCTGGATAATAAATATAGTAAATAGAATATCTTTTTATATAATATAATACGAAAATAGTAAAGCAATAAATGCTGTTGACTTTTCTGGCTACTTAATTTGGTAAATAGTACCCCCTTTAATATAAGTATAGATTTGTATAATCTATAAATATATAAATATATTTTAATAATATATATTTGTTCCTGTCACACGTGTTTCTAAATAACAAATCGTCTACCTTATAAAAATATTTTAGCTAAAGAAATACAACATTTTATTATTATAATAATGTAGGTATCTATATACAAAATATATNCTCCGACTCCTTATGGAGGAGGACTTCTGGAAGCAGAAGGCGGCCGTTCGCTGGGTGGCCGAGGGCGAACGGAACACTAGGTTCTTCCGGGGCTACGTTAGGCAAAAGCGTGCTAAGTCGTACATCCATAGCATCGAGGCTAATGGGTCATCCTTGACCCAGGAGGCTCAGATTCGGGAGTCGGCTGTTGCTCACTTCCAGACCCTCTTCACCTCTGACAGAAGGTCCCTCGTGGCCCCGAACGCTTCTTTTTTCCCCACCATCCCTCCTTCGGTCGATCTCATTGGCCTCTGTGAGCTCCCGAGCAGGGAGGAGGTTAGGGATGCTGTATTCGGGATTGATCCCAACAGCGTTTCTGGCCCGGATGGTTTCTCCTCCTTCTTCTATCAGGTCTGCTGGGATATTGTCGAGACTGACGTCCAGGAGGCGATGTTGGACTTTTTCTCCGGCCACCGGATGCCGGATTCCTTCACGTTTACCTCTGTCGTCTTGATCCCCAAACGACCCAACCCGAGCTCTTGGTCCGATTACAGGCCCATCAGCCTGTGTAACGTGACCAACAAGCTCATTTCGAAAATTCTTAATGGCCGTCTTTCCCCTCTTCTACCCTCTCTCATCTCTCCGAACCAGAGTGGATTCGTCAAGGATCGGGTCATTAGTGATAATATCCTTTTGGCCCAGGAGATGATCCACGACATCTCCCGAGCGGACTGGAAGCGGGCTCCGAATATCGCGCTGAAGCTGGACATGGCTAAGGCGTATGATAGGGTCGAGTGGCCGTTTCTTAGGGAGGCGTTGGCTAGGATGGGATTCCCTGAGCGTTGGATCAGCTTTGTGGAGGCGTGTGTGGAGCATTGCACGTTCTCGGTCCTGATTAACGGCAGCTCCACCGATTTCTTTCCCTCATCTAGAGGCTTTAGACAGGGCGACCCTCTTTCCCCTTCCCTATTCGTCCTTGCGGCGGACTACCTCTCTCGCTGCCTTGACGGCTTCATCCGCGACTC